CACAAACATGGTGACCCAAACTTGATTCCCAGAACCCACATACAGGTGGATGGAGAGAACCGACTCTAAGCTGTCCCCTGAACCCCATGTGCATGTCATAGTTCATGAATGCTTGCACTCATACGTCATACACGCAACAACAATAACAATAACTATAATGGAGATTATTGGCATATGGGCCCCAGATTGGTTAGCCTTCATTTGATAAGCAAGTAGGTTGCTTCCTCTTTCTAGGACCTGACTCATTCTGAGGGCAGTCTCCCCAACATCAGTGGAACTTAGATGTTAAAGCATCAGGATTCATAATATGAAACATTTGACTCATAAGAGCCTGTCTCCATTGTAGGAGAAGCCAGGGCTGACAATCCTATACTCATGGGTGTACACCTGGAGCACGGCCCCGCCTCAGTCTCTGCGGTCTGATGTGAGATGTTGGGGGATGGTGAGGGAGATGAGGGAAGTTAGTACACAGGATGGTGCTTTCATTCCTTCACTCGAGGAGCGGGAAGAGCACTTTGCTTCCCTTCCCACTTGGAATATTTTCAGTCCACCCTCAGGGCTGTCACATTAACCTTTGACCAGGAGAAGTAGTCATGTGACCCAGAGGGAAGCATGTGGAACCTGCTTCAGTGAGACCCACTCAAACCTCATCTCCTGTTCTCTACACAAAACTTCTCTCAGTGTGCTGACTTGCAGCCAGAAACAGGATGTGCGTTTCTGTCACAGACATCAGTAATCAGCACCATGAGAAAACCACTCACTTCTTGTTCCTAGACTCTAGCTCTAACCACAGGACTTGGAAGGCTCAGGGACTTAGTTACCTTGCCACACAGCTAACTAAAAAAAAATGGCTTCAAACCTCAATGCTGAGTCCTGCCAATCTGCAATGCCTGGAGAACAGCTTAGTTAAGTGGGGGTTCATTGGAATAGAAGACAGAAAGGAGGAACAGTGGTGCATGCTGGGAGTCTGGAAGACAAGAGTCCACTTCAAGATGATGCTTAGGCAGGGGCTGCCTGCTGGCAGCCATGCCTGGAGTTTGCTGATCTGGGACATATGGAAGCCTTGAGGTAGTGTTTCATGTGGTCCATGATGCATGGCACACTGCTTAGTGGGAACATATAAGATTCATATGGGCATGCTTCCTAGGGTCCTAGCAGTATCCGCCCGAGTTAATGGAAAGAGTCCCAGTGGCATGAAATGAGAGGAGCACAAAGAAAGAGGATGATTAATGCACTGTTTTAATTGGTGAGCTACAGAATGATTTCAATCTGCTAGAAAGGGTGGGATACACATCGCTTCAGCCCTAGACTGCAAAGCTGTATTTGACAGAGAGTCTCTAATCACAGGGACTCATTTGAAGCTGGAAGTTCATGGGAAATGAAACACTGTTATCCTGAGGATGGAGCAGGAAAGAAAAAGTAAAGTCAGCTAAACAGAACAAACCAAGTTGAGTTCAATAGATTATGCTCATGACCCTGGCACAGGGGAAGCCTGAGGCAAGAGGACCTGGACATTCAGGTCGGTCTGAGCAAAATGGTGAGACCTGTCTCGACAATGACAAAGTCTAGGGTGTGACTCAGTGGTAGAATCCTGGCCTAGCATGGGAAATGACTTGGGCTCAATCAAATCAGTCAAAAAGACAAAAATAAAAACTGGTCCAATGTGAATGTTAGCTGCTCATGCCTAGGTCATTGCTTAGATTCCTATGGTCTTATAGGAAGGGGGTGATATTCTCACATACCTAGAGAATATCACCCTAACCCTAACCCTAACCCTAACTCTAACCCTAACCCTAACCCTAACCCTAACCCTAACTGTGATCTTTTACTAGTGGTGAGAAAAACTTCTACCCATTCTGTGAAGGCATTCACTAGGAAAAAAGGTATCTGAAGCATTAAACTGTAGGCATGTGGGAGGAGTCAAGTTGAGCTGCCAGTCTGATCCAGGGAGGGATCCCCTGGCTTGATGAGTGGGGAAAGGGAGACTCCAATGCTTGGTGGTAGGCTTAGAAGTTTGACAAACTTTATAAGAAATAGTGATAGATAGGATAGACCCACAGAGGTAGATTATAAATAGGTTTTAATGAAGCGGGACAAAGCCTGGGGATAGGATAAAATTTGGGGAGTATCTGCAGATGGTTATGGAGGCATGGTTTATAAAATGAGAGTGGCATATGATGGGGACCCAGGATGCTGAGAGTCGCAGCTCTGGCTGCAACATTAGCTCTGTTATTTCCCTTGGAAACAGGACTGTCCATGTGAGTTGGGTAGAAATGTGTGTGTCTGGGCCAGTCCAAGTAAAGGCAAAGATATTCTGTGACTGGGGATCCTGAGGAATAGAAAGGCAGGCATCCTTGAGGTCACTGACAGAAATGAGAGGTTTCTGTGAGGGGATGGTGGAGAGGAGAGTTGAAAGATGAAGAGCAACTAACGCTGTGTTGGTAATTCAGAGATCCTGAACCAAGCGGTGGGGTGGCTCCATTGGTTTCTTTTAACTGCAAGTATAGGGCATTAAAGGGGGAAGAGTTGGGGTCCAGAGGATTGTTTCTTAGGAAGTCAGAGCAGAGAGGTTTAAGTCCCCTGAGACCTTGGAGTGAAAGCAGATGTTGAGCCTTGCTTATATATTTGGCAGGGTTTTGTAGTCAAATGATGAGAGGGGTTTTGGGTGCCCCATAGCTGAGGATCTACCTGAGAGGTTGGTAAGGGTAGAAGTGTGTCAGATCATGTGGTTTGGAGAAGGAGAAGGGGAACCGCTGGCAAGCCTGGGGCCAAGTGGATGGGGGAGCAAAACAAATCAGGGCTTCAATTTTGGCTAGAAGGTCCCTTCCCGACAATGGGATGAGACAGGTTGATGTCTGTAGGAAGGAATGGGTAAGAAGGGTACTCTTAAAGATACAGCTAAGTGGTGGGGTTTGGTGAGCCTGATATGGCTGTCCCCCCTATTCCGACAATAGAGGAGCAAGGAGTGGTGTGTCCCCAGAACTTTGTCAGGGCTGAAAAAGTGGCTCTGGTGTCCAGTAAGGAAGGAGATGAACTGCCCTGATACTGTGATAACTACCTGAGGCTCCCTGTCAGAGATGGTGGTGGTCAGGCCAAGGGAACCCAGACCCCCTCATTCATTCATGGCCAGACCAAGGAGATCAGATGAAGGGTGATCTGGGGTTGATGTCCTCATGCCACAAGGGACATGGGGACAACCAACACTCCAGTGCCCTTCTTGATGGCACCTTGGACATGGTCCGGGTGGTTTACCAGGGTTCTGACAGGCCAGGACCCAATGACCCTCCCAACCACATTTGAAACAGGGACATAGAGGTTCTTGGGCTTTAGGAGACCAGGAAGCCTAGGCTTTTGCTTTAGCCAGTTGAGAGGCCTTAGCCATCATCATGTATTTTTGCTTTGGGGCTTTTCCATCTCTCCCATGGTATACCTTGAAGGCCACAGTTAAGACTTCTGATTGTAGAGTCGGGGGGGGGGCTTTTCTAGACATTTAAGCTTGGACCTAATATCAGGGTAACTTTTGGAAAAAATAAGTCATAAAGAGTTATTTTAAGAGGGCCTTTGTAAGGCGGTCTCGGAATTGAGATGGATTTTTGTACTTTTCCTGAATGACCCCTGGAACTTTTTCAGAATTTACCAACTTAAGGACAGTCTTGTAGAGACCAGCCAAGAGGCAAGTTAAAAATGGCTTCCTGGCTAGGATGCCCCCTGGGGTATTTATCCCTACACAAACCCTGTGTCTGTTCAGCTTGTAGTTGTTTGTGCTGCCCGGCAGCCGCTCTCCTGGATGCTACCCTCCCAATAAATCTCTTGAAGGAGGTTTGGGTGAGACCTTCTTTTGCAGGAGCAGAGACGACCCTGGGTGGAGCAGAGCAGAGCAAGGCTGTAAGACTTTTTTCACTGGGGAAACTGTCCCTGGTGAGGGAAGCTCTCTCCTTCAGGAGCAGAACTGATACACTAGGGAAGCCTCTCCCTGAAGCAGGGATATAAGCTGCTATGCTTCCTGTGACCTGTGTTATTCCTTGGCTCCCAAGTTCCAGAATACCTTTTTATTCAAGTTGTAACACCTAGTATACTGTGACTCCCGAGTGCCAGAATACCTTTCCATCCGAGTCATGGCAGCCTTAGCCTATGATGATACCCTACTCTCATCATATGGGCGGTTTATAGTAAGGCTATGTTGAATAATTCAGGCTGTAAATTTGCTGGGAGATGAATTTTGTTGTTTACAATGAGGAAACCATAATGCATCTCTAGATTCTGTTGGTTCTAAATGTAATGGCTGGAGTCATGGTAGCTACACAGTTGTCATCCTAAAGACAGCCCAATACTCAGAACAGAACAACATTAAGACAAGTGAAGAGAAGTGGGTGCAGAGCTCAAGGTTGGCATTCTTATGCCCAACCATCTCATGTAATATTCAGCATTCAACATGCGAAATATTTTCCCTTTTGAACAGGTGAGTTCAAATTACCTATTGCTGGCTGCCAAAATGTCCCAGTGTAAGCATGAAGTGGTACAGTTAAAGCCACTGTTAAGGTTTATGTCGATTTAGACCTTATGATTCAAACTCTTGCCCTGGGCTCCTTATACTGAATCACAGTTCCTCTAGAACCCTCAGCAGTGTTTTATGTGAATTTCTCAGGCACTCACTGTAGGCTACCAGCTAAGAACTGCCGTATGTTAAGAACCGAATGTGTTTTGCTCTTTCAGGGGACCTACATTTGTTCTCCAGCACCTACACAAGGTGGCTCACAACCACCTGTCACTCTAACTGCTGGGAATCTAATGTCCTTGGGCACTGGCACATGTACAGGACACACGCAGAACACACACACACACACACACACACACACACAAAGTAAAAGAAAGATGTTAAGTTTTCTAACCTCTTTCTCAGTGAACAAATTAATCTAAGGTGGGGGAGATTCAATTTCATTTGCCCTGAGCTGAGGCTGGGAGTATTTCTGCTGAAACTAAAGAATAACTAAACCACTTACCAGAATTAATGAGGACAGTAGCTCTGTGGGAGCCAGATGACAACCATGTATGTTGTTTCCTGGATCTGTAAGGAGAGATGGCTTCCTCTGAGAAGATCAAGTCATTAGAAAAGGCTCTGCTAATTTCAAGCTCCCTCAGGAACACCAGGGGGTGGAGCACCTCAGGAGAAGGAGCCTTGGCGAGCAATGTAATTGATCTCACCTAGATGCAGGCAGAGGGAAATGCTCTGAGGGAGAAGCCTGCTGAGAGGGATGACATCTTTCTTCCCCATGTGAATAAACTTCTGTGTCCCTTCAGGCACAAATCCGTGAGGGGATTCTTCCCGAGGACGGCACTCTGATTGTTTAAAAACCCACAGAGCACCCTGTGCCAATACAAGCTTCCCTCGGGCAGGGAGAGGGAATCAAAATAAAATAAAAATGATTGAGCAAATGCAGTGAGGAGAATGAAGCCACACTCCAGAAACGTGCACCTGTGTTTTAAGTAACGCCGTGGTCACGTGTTGGTTGACGTCTAATCAGTTACAACAGCTGAGGTCAAGTTAGTCAGCAGCCACTTAGACTTCTCGTCACCCATCCACTTCATTGTTCAAGACTGCAAATAGATAATGAAATAGATGCCCACCTCCTTCTGCACTCCGTTTTCCTCACTGCTTGGAAAGATGAGTTTGACAAACTACAGAGCTGTGGATAGAGAGCGGGGATTTTGGCAGTGATGAATATGCCTGGCAGGACGTGTCACATGTGCAGTCATAATCACCATCAGCCCAGAAAACCAATTTCAAGCTTGAGACCACCCATTAGGCAAAGAAACATCTAATGAGCCCTTGTTTTCAAGGAAAGGAACAGCAATGCCTGGCATCTAATCTAATCTTGGTAGGACCTTGCCTAGGTACCCCAGTGACCTTTCTCCACCTACACCGTGCTCCTGGGAGCCATTGGTTGTAGATTATGGATACTAGTTCTACAGAGATAAAAGAAAAATTCACTCAGAATGACCAGCCCTTTCATGTAATGACTTCATACAGCAACAGGGAACCCATCTGGGCTGCTAGCTTCATGTCTGCTTAAGTGAGGGCATGTGTCACTGTGAGTTTTCTTGACCATGAAGCCATCTTCATAAACATCTCTATGTTTGGCACTATTTCTGTGGCTTGTTCACAGGTGACCCACAGTGTGGGTTGTTGTGTTAGTCCTGGTGTTAGTGCACTCATACCCTCAGGAATCAGATCTTCAGTTGACCCCAAACCTCAGAGACATCCATGACATGTGTGTCGTGTACACAGATACTGGATACTCTGAATAAAGTTTGCCAGCTCTCTGAAGGACATATCCCAGATTTAGCTGAATTTCAGTATCTTGACTGTTCCCATATGGCTGTCACCTGACTGCTCTAGTAATCTTTAAATCCTCCACCCATTACAGCTGAGTCTGTACAGAAGGTTTCAGTGTGTAATGCCTGCTAGATAGAATCACTTCTGCTTCAAAAGCACTTCCTGTTTCCTTTGGATTCGTTCTAAATTTCTATTGGTTACAAGGCCTTCTGCTGGGTCTCTCTTGGGACCTCATGTCCCAAAAATCTCTCCCTGGGTCAGTCTGCTATACACATGCATACACACACACATTCCTACACACGTATACATGTGCACATATATGCACACACATGCACACACACTCACTAGTGCGCGCGCGCACACACACACAAGCACACACCCGTCCCTCGGGCTGTTTCTGATGGCTGTAGCTTACCCATCAAAAATGTTGGCTTTCTGTTCCCAGAGTCTCCCCTCTGAATCCATGGGGCTCTCCTACAAACCTCACAGAGCTGACCCTATGCTCAGCTGGAGGGAGAGTACACAGGGCAGTACAATTAACAATACTGATAGCTTTATCATGACTTCTTTTGGCATGGCTCAATGCCAGACCCCAGGCTCACTCCCTACCTCCAACATTTTACTCTCTGTAACCAGAGCTTTCTGTCCTGGCTGGTCCAGCAGCCCTTGAGCCCAAATAAACACACAGATGCTATATTACTTATAAAGCTGTTGGCCAATGACTAGGGCTTCTTAATGGATAGCTCCGTTTTAATTATTAACCTTATTTCTATGTATTGCCACGAGGCCGTAACTTACCCAGTAATGCCCTGGCATGGTGTTACTCCTCCGGCAGCATCATGACTGAGTACCTTTCCCAGAATTCTCCTTATCTCCTCGACCTGCCTATCTTCCTGCCTCATTGGTCAAAAAGTGTTTTATTCATTAGCCAATAAGAGAAACATGTATACAGGAGGACAACCCTATCAATTGTCCAAGAAGGAATAAGAAAAAACTGTAAAGTCACAAACCTGGACAGAGCAGTTCAAGGCCCACAACCCCTTTCTCCTGGTTCCTAACTCAGTGCTTTCTTCATTGATATTCAAACAATCAAAGTCACTAAATTATGAAGTAGCATTTTTATTTATTGGAATAAGTCAAATTGAACAGCCTCACTTGATACAGTACAACTGAACGCTAGCGAGCCTATACTAAGAGTTTTTATGAACATTCTAGACATAGTACTTATGTGTTCAATAAACATTTTTATTTCCTCCTAAACTTTCTGACCTCCTGTATACTTATTTAGTAACACTGAGGAGGTGGCTGTCTAGGAGGGAGCTCGGCCATGTACATGAAAAATGCTTCTGAATGAAAATGCTGCTGACTTATCAAGTCTGTAAAGGGTACATAGTGAGAAACCTGGGATCTGGGGCAGTGGAAAAGTAAGGTCCTTCAGAGTGTGACAATTGGTGGGGAAATGGAGGTGTTTGGCATGTGGAACTTGTCCAGGACTCAGACAAGAGGATGAAGGAAGAAGCTCCCCTGCAGTGAGACACAATGAAGACAGGTCAAGTGCCCCAAACAAGGTAGCTGGAGCTCCAATGTCCCAAAAGTCTGAAATCCAAAACACTGGAATTCAAAACTTCCTGGATATTAATAATGCTGGTAAAGATTTGAGATTTGGCAGCATTTTGTATTTCAAATTTTTGGACCAGGGATATACAACTGGTAAAGTCTATGCAAAGATCCTCAGGATGAAAAACCTATCTCTGAATCCTGTGTGGTCCCAGGCATTGTAGGTAAAGGACAGTCAACCCATTCCAGCTGCTGTTGCAAAGGCTAATTGCTATGGAAACAGGAAACAAGAGGACAGTCAGGGTGGGCCACCAGCTTTATGTGACTCCCGACACACACACAAACGCAAACATACCTGCACACATATAAACACACATGTGCACACACACCACAAACATACATACCTGTACATCTGTAAACACATATGCATACATATACATATACATACATATCTGTACACACACACAACCATATACACACTTCACATGCAAACATACCTGCACACATACAAACATACACACAAACACACCACAAACATATACATGCCTGCGCATGTACAAACATACCTGAATACACACACAAACACATATACAAACATATCTGTACATACACATATGCAAACATAAACACACACTTATTCTCTATAAATAGTTTAAATACCAACCTCAGGATCATTATGAACTTTATATGAAGTGTGTCCTGCTTAGTGTTTGTCAATTTTATATAAGCAAGAGTTATCTGGGAAAAGGATTCTCAATTGAGAAAATGCCTCCATCAGATTGGACTATAGCCAAGTCTGTCTGGCAATTTCTTGATTAATATTTGATGCAGGAAGAACCAGCCCACTTACAACACCCCGGGGCAGATGGTTCTGGACATTATTAGAAAGCAAGCTGAGCAAACAATGAGGAGATCTAGTAAGCAGCATTCCTCCATGAACTCTGTTCAGTTCCTGCCTTTAAGTTTCTACCTTGAGTTCCTGCCCCGATATCCCTCAGTGATAAAATATGACCCAAGAGTTGAAAGATGAAATAAACCCTTTCCTTCTCATTACTTTTGGTCATGGTGCTTTATCATAGCAAGTTAATAAGTGTTAACTTGTGAGTGATTTAGTTCCAGAAATATTGAGAGTATCTTTGATTTCCTGTTTTTATTCACCAACAGAAGGTAAATAAAGACCATGCATCCTTCCTGGAGCCATGGGCTTGTCTTCCCTTCCATGGAGGAGAGGGTCAGGGACTAGAGAGGCCCACCATGCTCCTTTGCTGCGGCTGTGCACCTTCCCAAATGCACATCACCAAGGGCATCCACTATGAGTCAAAAAGGAGGGCTTCTCTTTTCCTGGGGTGATCTCTAGGGAGGTCACAGGGGTTAGGGGTGGGGAGGGTGAAAGCCTCAGGCTCTAGTGCTTGATCTGTGTCCAGAATTATCCCCCCTCCCTTACCTTCCTTCTCCCTCTTTTACCCACTATTTTTATGGCTTCCTCTTCTTCAACTATTTTTTTATCACATACACATTTAAACAAATAAACATATAATTACAACTTGCCAAGTACTCCTTGCATGTGTGTGAGTCTAGGACTAGCCACTTGGTTTTGGGAAATGGTTAGGGAACTCATCCCTGGGGAAGACTAATTCTTTCTCTCAGCAGTTATTAATTTCTAGCTGATCTTTATCTAGGAATGAGGCCCATGAGATTTCCTACATCCACAATGACATGACAGCTGGTGTCATTGTTCCTGTCTTCTTTAGGCAGCCATGTTGTAGAGATTTCCTGGTGTAGCTTCCCTGTCATGGCTAGAAGGAATAATCTCATAGCAGACTTCCTGGTCCTCTGGCTCCTATGTCTTTCTCTGCCTCTCTTCTTCTGTGTTCCCTGAGCCTTGAGTGCAGGAGGGGTGTTGTAGATGTGCCAATTAGAGCTAGGTACTCTATGGTAAGGTGCCCTGTGTTTTGATCAGTTGTGGCTTTCTGTAACGGTCTCCGGATGGGAAAAGAAGATACTTTGATGGGATATGAGAGCTACATTTGTCTGTAATTATAAGGATGAGTATTTCAAAAGCAGTTACGAATTATACTGTGCTGGTTTAGAAAAGTGGCAGTAATAGGCTTTCTTCTGAGATCCATGGTCTCCATAAGCACATGCAATGTCTAGGTTTATAGTATCTGCAGCCCTCCTGTTAAGCAGGCCCTGAGTCCAGCTAGACAGCTGTTGGTTACTGCTAAGATGTAAGTGCCACCATTACATCTTTAGGGCTATCTTATCATACTGATTGTTGTTATGATTCATTGGCATCACAGTTGGGTAATGCTAGTGACTGCTTCCCCTCCTTAGGAAACTATTTTATGTAGTTCTTTCCATTATGATGAAAGCTAGTCCTCAGATAGGAGGAATTCAGGTCAATTCCAGCTCAAATCTTCTGAGTCCTGTGTCTAAAATAGATGGTATCTTCAGCAATTGGGACTCACCTTCAACTTCTGGGAAGCAACCAAGGGCAATGACAATATATTTTATTGTTTGGGGAGACTCTTAGACTCCCCTGACCAACAAGTTGAATGGT